ACACACACACACACACACACACACGTGCGCACACATTTACACACGCGTGCCCACACAAAAATACAAAACAATCTTCTGTTTTAGTGCGAAAGAAATAATAAAGAAAAGAATAAAACTTCTTTGGCCTTGGATCCGAATTAATAAATTAATAAATAGACTGACAATCAAACAAAAATAAGATAACAAACAACAAATGAACAAACAAATATAATGACAGGCGAACAAGTAAACAAAATGACAGACGTACAATCCCAAATGACAGACGAACAAAAACAAGAAACAGCAGCAAAACGTATACAGTTTGTCTCTTACCGTTAAAGGCGCTGATCATCTCTGACAGACTGGGGAGACCTGTGCCTGGGGCGGCGGGGTTCGAACCTCCTGGTGGAGATGATTTGTTTGGGGGGGGGGAACGGGAGGGGACGGGAGAGGGTGGGAAAGATTGGGTGAGGAAGATGGGAACAGAGAGAGAGAGAGAGAGAGGGAGACAATGAGAAAGAGAGGAGAGAGAGACAGGAAGAAGAGAGAGGGGAGAGGGAGGAAGATACAATAGAGAGGGGAGAAAGAGGAAGGGGGTAGAGAGAGAAAAAGGGAGAGAGACAGACAGGCAGACAATGAAAGACAGAGAGGAGATGAGGCAGAGAGGGAGGGACAGAAATATATAGTGAAAAGAGAGAGAGAGAGAGAGAGAGAGAGAGAGAGAGAGAGAGAGAGAGAGAGAGAGAGAGAGAGAGAGGAGAGAGAAGGGAGAAGGACAGACAGACATGACAGACAGTAGAGATAAAAAAAGGAGAGAAAGTGAGAGGGAGAGAAGAGACAGAAAAAGAAAGAAAGAAAGAAAAAAAGAAAGAGAAGGGGAAAAAGACAAAGAAAAAGAAAGACAACAGCCAACAACCACTGACCTTCAGCATGACCTCCGACCTCTGGTGGTCCGAGGAAGAGGGCTGTACCCGCGCCGACACACGTTCTGAGCGAGGCGAGCGGGGCACGGCGCGGGCCGCTTGCGGGTGTCTGTGGCGAAGGTCGGGGCTCCGAGAGGCTCCGTCGGTCAGACCGCTGGGCTCCAGAGCGTTACTGCTGCCCATGTCTGAGAG